TATGCTATTAAAACAAAATAGCGAGTTCGACTCTGAAATTAGCCCTTATCGTGTTCTCAGACAATCTGATTAAAGCACAGATCCTATTTCGTTTCATTTTTATAGTAAAAAATTTCGTTTCACTTGTCATGTGTAGACCATCGAAAGTATAAAAAACGAAACGAAATATGTTCTCAGATGAGCCGTGGCAGCTAAGTTGTCAGGAAATTAGACTCGCCATGCACTTAAATGTCACGATTCGGAATCCCGGCTTTGGTCGACAAGAACCATCAGAATATTTTACGACCGTCCTTCATATGTCAAGGGTGACAGGTTGACAAGCACACTATGCCTACTAATGATTCAAATGGAACGAAAACTGAATGCACGTAACCTGCAGAACCAATGACAGTTGGAACTGAAGAAGGGTTACCGGGCATAATTCTTGTGGTCTCGCCTTGTAAACGTAAACTTTGGAAGAAACAAAAGTTGGTCTCAAATAACCAAATGCGGGGTTGGATGGCCAAATGGTTAGCGCATGTGCGTGGTATCATAAGATCTGTCATTGAGCCAGCTGGTGTGGTTTTGATTCCCCGATTGTACGTGACTATGAGTAGGGTCGCCTTTCCAACCTCGTGGGTTTTCTCCGGGTCCTCCGGTTTTCTCCTACTGCTAAAGACCCTACGCGCAAGCGAATTATTGAATAAAATTGAACCATATGTTAGTCCCGAAATGACCTAGTTTGTGTCCCGTTGATGTTAAACTCTCCCTCTTTCTCATATACAGGTGTGAGATCTAAAGCATGCCACTTGACTAAATCACATTGACCATTCAGCCACCACCACCCACCCCACCCCCACCCCCCCACCCCGGCAAAATGTGAATTCATAGCATTATACATGTGAGTATAAATAAGAATAATATGTTAAAGGTACCTTTGCGCGTACAAGCTGGGTGATTTGATGATATATTTGGACTAAAAACATATTCAAACTAATTCATTTATAAAAATTTTGCTTCAAATCCTTCTCAAAACATTGTATTCGCAAGGGAATACCCGTGCTATAAATATATATATATATATATATTAAAAGAGGTCAAGTTTGTGTCACCTGACTTGGCTGACACGGTACCTAGCAACGGGTGCGAAGGCGGGTGAGAATTCATTGCATACAAGATGATGTCTTTAATCGCTGTCCATTTATTATAAATATCGAAGCCTTATTATATTCTCGGATTATCCACTGCCCACGTCTTTTTCCGTGTTATCCCCGGTTGTACGTGGCAAGGAGTAGGGTCGCCTGTCCAACCTCGTGGGTTTTCTCCGGGTCCTCCGGTTTCCTCCCACTGCTAAAGACCCCTACGCGCAAGCGAATTATGTAAATAAAATCAAACCATATGTTAGTCCCGAAATGACCTAGTTTGTGTCGAGTGGACGTTAAACCCCATTTCTCTCTATCTCTCTCTTTTTCCGTGTTTTTATCGCAGAAACCGTTGTGCGCGTAAGCTCGCCATCCAGATTATCAACATATACACCAAGCGCTCACTAACGCTGAGAAATCAAACAACCTACGCGTGCATCCTTTGACGTCACTCGAGCAGACATCCCTAATCGTCGGTTGCCAGTTTGTCCATGGGTGTTTGTCAGGGAATCCAGTATTTTTCTAGTAAGATGTTTCTTCTTTCCATATACACGTATACCAAAATTGCCATACTTTTATTGGAAATAAGTAACCGATAAATATTTGTGTGGGGAAGTATCTTTAAGTCTCCGAATAGCCAGATGAATATGTTAATACGACGTGGGTGGGTTTGATTGTACCAAATCTAGGCCCACCAGGAAATCCCTTAAGCTCTATACATTTTCTAATTGTGCATTTTTAAAAATCGGAGAAAAATTCTACGTCTTCTGAAACTAATTCAATCCCCACAGTAGAGTTACACGGGTTTCCATACGTATTTTTCTATTGCCAGCTTAAAAGATTGAAGCCCGAATGCACTTCCTGAACACTTGGAGTCTGAAATAAAATATACCTGGAGAGGCGGTTTTGATACGCCATTAATCTACTGGAACAACAGAAAGTAGAGATTTTATGTTAAATTGCGCGTGTTATAATTTACGTAAACAACAATAAGCAGGGTTTTTTATGTTTAATTGCGTAGGTTATAATTTCACGCTGCGAGTCAAATGTGATACTCGGTTACAGTTTTTGTTTTCTTTCTGCGCATCATGTAATAAATAAACGGCAAAACATTCATCATTGTACATTAAAGTCGCCAGTTGGGCTTGTAGACAATATCAAAGTGGAGCTTCAGGAGCGGGTCCAGGAATTTTTGCAGGGGGGGGGGGGTGCCGGATTCCTGTTAAAGAAATTTGATTTGACAGTTGACAATGTATGCTGCCATTATCGTCTCTAAATTACGTAGGCGTACATACACACTGAGCTATTTAAAGAGAGAAATCCAACACCCTGTCGAAATTCTCTCCTCTCGCACCACCGTACATGTAAAGACGGTATAAATTAACGACCCGTTTAATTCCACAGGTCCATGAAATACAAAACCCTATTATGAATTAATAGGATCACCGTGTGATTCAATTTCATTGATGAAAAGCATTAATTGGGATATCGCACATGTCTATACCAATATCTCGCGCTTTGAATGTCAATCCCATCCCACCATCTGATAATAAAGGATAAAGCACACCACCGTTACACTTTTCTCATAACAATTGTTGTTTTGCAAAAACTTTTATGTAGCTGAGAGTCTCGTGATCGATACCGGTGATGGCTGAGAAATTTCGGGATTTTTCGGTGTAGTCCCCCCTTGTCAGTGATGCAGGCGAGATCGTTTAGTCGACCGGATGGCATGGAAACCCGAAGTCCCGTGTGTGTACACATTGGTGTGCATGTAAACAGTAGGGCGCAGCGCTGCTGTCCGGGAAAAAGTTCTCGCATAGCACACTGTATGGTGTATACCCGTCTTCATTAGACCAGTTCGGAGCAGAAGTCGGACGTTAAAAGGAGAGCCATCAATATATGTTATCTAACATTTATAGGTGGCGCTGGCGTGTTTGTATCATCTGCAAATAAAGTCTTTGTAATCAAATCAGCTGCTTCAATGGATTGTAATGGGTTTGAATGGGGTTTTTTTTATCTCATGCGTAGGGTGACCCATGTACTCACAGAAATACAGTCCACCGCTGATAGTTCGAGACTACCACTGAAGCGTGCACAATTGCCGTGCCGAGACCAACTTTCTGACAGTATGATACTATAAATAGCCATGGCACGTGCAATTCTCTACAAATCTATCAACTATTACAGCCGTAAAAAATTTATTGTTGACGATTTTGAATAGCAGTAAAATTAAGCTTCTTGGTTATTACAGCAGATTTAGAATTTACGTTCGTTTCATTTTTTAAATCGCTTTATCATTAACTGTACCGTTAAGAGCGGCATCTTTTGGTTTAGTACAAATAATATCTCTGAATCACTCGGGTTAGACAGGAACATGATACTAGCAGTAGTTTCATTTTACTTTTACAAGCTTCTTAAAACGATTGTTGAGCTACCTAACGTGCTTATTTCTAAATTCAATTTCTTGTTCTAGCTTTCTGTTATGTTTCGTAAAAAAGTAGTCTTGATTAACCCGACCTGTCAATCAGACGTAGAATGGTCGATAGGCTGGTTAAGCGAGACTAATTTCAAAACAAGGGCACGTAACCTATCTTTTACTCAAAAGTGTCTGGATGTTATGGACGACTCTTGGAACCAGTTTTCAGTCTATTATTTACAGATGATTAATGGTCATAGCTTATTAAGTACAACATGATCGTTTTTTTAGTGACTATAATTGTGTGAAACTGATTTGAGGCTTGGCATATATATAAATATTGTGGCGTAATTGTCGAGATATATGGAGATATTTATTTATGGTGGGTCACCCTACTCATGGACCTGTGGTATTAAACGGGTCGTTACTTTATATACACAGTTTTTACATATGCGGTGGTGCAAGAGGAGAGAATTTCGCCGGGACAGCGTCGTTTAAATTTAAACAGGGGTTTCCAATGTCAAGTGTTATTCTATAAATATGCACATCGAACAGAACTTTTGAATGATGTGGGGTTTAAATTCTCAGGGGTGGATCCAGGATTTTCAGAAAGGGGTTTAACGTCCACAACCAGGTCATTTGGAGACTAACATAGTTGAATTTTATTTCAATAATTCGCTAGCGCGTAGGGGTCTTTAGCAGTGGAAGGAAACCGGGGGACCCGGAGAAAACCCACGAAATTGAACAGGCGACCCTACTCCTTGTCACGTACAACCGGGGAATCGAAACCACGCCAGGACTCAATGACAAATCTTACGATTCAACGCGCACGCACTAACCATTCGGCCAGCCAACCCTTCGACATGAGAAGAACCAAGCTGGGACAATTCAGAGGAACTTACTCGACCAATACCAGGGTCGAAACCGCGACGATCTGTTTAGGGAGCAAGCGCCGTACCCACGGAGTCATCATGACTCCAAACCGATTTCACTATTTCGCCAGAACAGTAGGACGTTAAACCCCATTTCATTTCATTTCATTTCAATATTTCGCAATACAATTCGTGACAATCTGATTAAAATACAGATCTATATTTCGTTTCGTTTTTTTTTTTACTTTCGATGGCCTACACTACATGGAGATCTGACCGGTTGTACTGGAAGGTCGTCTAGGGGTATAGGAGTGGCTTTTGACCCTATGACGTCAGACATTGATTAATCAATCAGCATTGTTGTTTCTAGTGGTTTACCCAAGAACTTGTAACAGACCGTTTCATTGGCTAAGCTCTCACTTCAACAAGAACGCCGGTAATATAACAAGTCTTCCAGATCCTAGTGTAATAAAGACAAGTAAAACGAAATTTTGAACTATAAAAAAACGAAACGAAATATGATCTGTGTTTTAATCAGATTGAATTAGTGATGAACAAAAATACAAACAAATATAAATTTGTTATGCACTCATATTTTTTATTAGATATTTTGATTCTACAATAATTTGTCATCGTAAAATCTCTATAAATATACATTCCATCGTCCTATATACAAATAGCATAAATGTACAAAAACAAAAAAAAAACATTTGTCAAAAATAAAACATGGTTTAGTTTGGCAAACAACTCGTTTTAGTTAAACTATAATAATATATAAGGCAGTGTATATGACGTCATAATATAAACAAGTAAACAATACGGCAGTAATTCAATTTTCGATTTTCTTTGAATAACAGAGGGGGTGATTGTGTGGTCGATGATGATGATGATGATGATGATGAATTATATTCTCTTTAAATCAAAAATCTTGACAATAAACAATGACACTGTTCTATAAGTTAATTTTCTCTAATTTTGAAAACACAATAAAAACAGTGGTCTGATACTTTCGGTTGGGTTATGATACAGCTATAATTAAGTATAAAATAGTGTCAACAACACAGTCCACTGATTCCATCAGATTTTCGAAATTAGATAATAATAGTTATTGACCAGGTCTGCACTAAAACGACAAGACAAGTCTGTAAAGTTATTCCAACCATACAACTTAAAAGGTAACCAAATGAGGTCAGACAACCGTAACAACTTTGTCAAGATTTCTCGAAGCTTTGAAAAGTTTCGATATGACGTCATGCAGCTTATAGATTTCACCCGATACACGAAGGCGACCAACAATAATATTGAGTCTGTAAAATATACCAAAATATACGGAAATGACGCAATCAATAGGTTACGGAAATGACGTACTCATAACAAGATATGCGGGTTTGATCGGAATAACCAGACAGAAATGTCTTGTCCTTCAAGTGTTTAATTTGTCGACGACATTAAATGAACACAATAAGGAATACATACTAATTATTAAAGTACTTTGTACCTTTCTTTCTAATGACTGGCTTGGCTCAGTTCTTTTTTTTAAAAAATACACAAAAACATAACAAATATACCAGTAATAAATACACATTAATATATAATTCAAATTTGTACACACACACAAAACAAGATATTCAAAAAATTGTCGGCCATGAGAGTAAGACAAAATGGCGAATATATTTTGTTCCTTGCTAATAATTGTTCTATATCAATTGTATATCAATTGTACAACAATTGATCATTAATATCTAATTAGAAAAAAACAAACCAACAATGAACAGGTATGTGAATTTCTCATTTTAAACAGACCAACAGAGGTGGTGCCAGGTGTTCTAGACAGTAAGCATACTCTGTACTGTACATGATACCAGTCACTAAGTACTGCTGTGAGTAATATCTGAGTACTAATAATCCTTTCTCTGTATCACCCATTGTACATTTCCCAGTTTTACATTAAATTTGGCGAACCGTTCTAATCTAGTTCAAATCTCGAGTATCCGATGCCTTATTAATAATTTATGTAACATTTCAGTCCTAAAGAAAGACCTGAAATTGCCAGATTTAGCTCTTGAATAATGTATGTTTAAACCTTTGTGATTTATGTCAAAAACCCATTTACTAAATGGGTTATACCCTATCTCAACACTGATTTTATATTTACACAAAACATTTTCAACGAAGACAGATTATCACTCCACGTCATAAATCAAATCAACTCGACAATTTTATGTTTGACCCAAATCAACGAGGCCTATCCATTTCAGGAATCAATTTTATATTATCTGAGAGAGAGAGAGAAATAGGGTTTAACGTCCACTCGACACAAACTAGGTCATTTCGGGACTAACAATAGTTCAATTTCATTTCAATAATTCGCATGTGCGTAGGGGTCTTTAGTAGTGGGAGGAAACCGGAGGACCCGGAGAAAACCCACGAGGATGGACAGGCGACTTTATATTATCTGTTAGTAGATTGATATATTGTTTGATCCAAATCAACGAGATCCAGCCATTTTAGGATGTAATTTTATATTCCCTGTTAGTAAAATGAAGTACATTGATATATTGTTTGATCCAAATCAACGAGATCTAGCCATTTCAGGATTTAATTCTATATTATCAATTAAAATGATGTAGATTGATATATTGTAACTGCTGTGGCATATAAAATAATAACAATAACTTGTACATGATATCAATACTAAATAACTTTGGCACATTTAAAAAATGATGGATACTTAGTTTATAAAATACGCTATTGTTGTCACAATATAATACTATATCCTGATATCAAGTCAAGAAAACTAAACAATGTTTAAAGAAAACTAAACAATGTTTTAAGAAGTCATTTCATTGGCTAGAAAACAAAATACCCAGCCAATGAAAAGACTACAACCTTAAAACATTTCATTTTTTAAAAACGCATTTGATTATAAAGAGATTCTCCGAAGAAATTGATCGACAATAATTAAGTAGATTATACAGTAAGGCACTCTTTGTTCAATAAGAGTTACTCCCCTTGGATAAGCTTTGACTGGAGTTACTCCCCTTCCATAAACAAGGACTGAAATTGTTTCCTGCCTATCAAGAGGGGAATAAATGGAACACTATTTTAGTTCAAACGAACTCCGGAAATATTCACAACAACCGGTGGTGTGATTTTATCAAATTAGGGAGCAATAGTTAACAGCATTGTACAGTATATCGACAAATTAGTCATTATATTTTAAAGACCACTGGTCGCATTTGTTTCATGTTGCAATTGCTTCACGAGCACTAATAAAATGTCCGTCAACCATAGGTATACACAGTAATTTACTGTCGCAAATATTTGATGTTAATTAGAATGTTTGTACGCATTTAATTCATGTTGCAATTGCTTGAAGAACACTTTTTAAATGTCTGTGTACCATAGGCAGTCGCAGTAATTTACTATCCAAAGGTTTGTTGCTAATTAGAATGTTTGTACATATAACCTTATTTAGCTGCCATAAAATAGCGATATTTTAACAAGGCATTTTATACATCACAGTCTTATATAGGAATATTTTTAATTAAAAATACAAGTTATATAAGAGTTATCTCCCTTTCTAATGTAGCCTTGATCTAGAGAGAGAGAGAGAAATGGGGTTTAACGTCCACTCGACACAAACTAGGTCATTTCGGGACTAACATATGGTTTAATTTTATTTACATAATTCGCTTGCGCGTAGGGGTCTTTAGCAGTGGGAGGAAACCGGTGGCCCCGGAGAAAACCCACGAAGTTGGACAGGCGACCCTACTCCTTGCCACGTACAACCGGGGATTCGAAACCACGCCAGTCGACTCAATGACAGACTTTATGATACAGCGCGCGCACGCTAACCATTCAGCCATCCCCCCCCCCTTGATCTAGAAGGCTGAGATCACAATATATTCCACTAAGCACAAACAGTTGCCAAACTTGGTTCCACAGTTGTATATAAAACATTAACGTGCGTCATGCTGGATTAATGCTGTCCAGTCTTTATCTAAAATTTCAATACGAAAATCGAACAACGTCAATAGATTAACACCGACGACGGTGAAATCTTGCCTTAAGTCTTGGTTATGCGAGTAGAACAACGTCAAAAGATTAACACCGACGGTGTAACGCTGACTTAAGTCTTGGTTATGTTTTGTGACCTCGGGCTAATTTACTGACAAAACATCAAAAGCGTGAACCTTACTTAAGTCTTGCTCCTGTTTCGTGCTATTGTTAAAATGGATCTGACGCGGCAGATAACTCTTACCGGCAATGAGGGAAGTCTTGACCGGAAAGCCCGCGCTACGTTCTACTCTTTTTCTGAATTCCAACTGCCTAAGGTAGATAACTCTTACTAGAAAAGCGATAAAGTCTCAAATAGACAGCTGTGTTATTTGTGTCGTTATTTCAAAGAATAATTTTACAAATTTGTAAATCTCATTAAAAAAATAAAACAACAGATGAAACAATACCTTGTAAACATAAGATTTACAATATTGAAAAACTACTTCCTTGGTTAACATGAAAACCAGTTCAGTGTATCAGGCGGCTGGTTGTCTTGGACTACATCCTCGAGATTGAGTCTTGATTATCAAATCTAGAACTTATAATAGTCAATTTCACTCATACAACCACTCACCAACAAAAAAGCACTAATTAAAAAAGCCTCGTCCGAGTCCAGCCATCGTGTTTGATCATGCAAAAAGCGTTCTCGGGGACGGTGTAGCATAGAACATGTTGTTTGGTATGGTGGACGGTGAGCCTAGTTGTACGGGACTAGAGGCATAGAAACACGTACCATGGTAACTTGCGTGACCGCCATATTGACCTGAAATTAAACATATATTATTATTTACGGCTCAGTTTGAGATATTTTCAAGTCTAGATCAGAAGCCTACGAGCCAATAAACAATCTTAATCACGCCAAGTTTTATCCTAGCCCTTTCATATTACGTGTGGGAACTTAAGAAACATGACATCATTTCAATGCCTGTTGCCAACATTGCAAAAATCAACTGAACAAAATGAATTTTTTTATGACAATACACTCGGGATGTCTGTTCACGGGGTATGTTACCGACACTATATATGCTTTCGGGGTCTCGGTGGGCGAACGGCAAGGAGACTGGACTGAATCCAGACATTGGAATTTCTCAGGGGTGACAGCCAAATAAAATGTTGCATAGTCGTTCGTATGGGATGAAAAATCCAAGGTCCCAACCGTGTACACATTGGATTGAATGTAAAAGAACCTTGATAAGCGAAAATTGTTAGAATACTAGCGGATGGCCGGGTGCTACAAGGGTTGAAATTAGTATAACTCCGACATTGGAAGCGGTAGGCCAAGGCCTAATGTTACTCCGCCGGCACGAGCTACCCCTATACAACAAATTGCATTATTGGGATAACCCTAATGTAGCTGCCAGCCCCTGAACAGACAGACAGACAAACGACTCATAGGCCACCAATTTAATTAAATTGTAAGCTGCGTAATACTCAAATAAAGTCTCGTTGGCAATAAAATGACGGGAAGTGTTAGAATCAATGAGTATTGAGAGGTAATAGCAGAAGAAATGTCGTCAACGAGTCAAAACAATATGACGGGTGATAGACATTGTTAGTACTGTAAATAGTCAATCAGTAGTAAGAAGTTTTATTTTAATCGCTTCAAGTACCTGTGAAACGACTTTACAGGGATTATTCCACCCATCAACAGTACTTTCAGTAAGCAGTTAATTCGTCACAATCTTGAATTTTATTAGTATATTAGTCACGACATGAACGGAGTGTCAAAGCATTTGTTTTTGGATTACATTTCACATAATTATGAATGGTTTTGAGATTAGACTATCAGTAAAGATTATGGTAGGAAATAAAATGGGGATTTATGTACTAGTTTTCTGGAACGACCGGACAAATGAAAACGGACATTCACAATGAAATGGGGGTTAACGTTCTACTCCAGCTAGGCTAATGAAGACGGGCATACGCCATGCAGTGTGCTATGAAGGAAATTTTGCTTGGACAGCTGCGCTGAGACCTTCTCTTATATCGAATCCCAATTGTCAAGGGATCTTTTGACCTCGGTTTTTCGTGCCATCCGAACGACTAGACAGCTGTCCTTACCAGGCCGTCCGTCCTGCATCACTGACAAGGATAAACCACATCGTAAAATCCTGGAGCGAACTCGCGGCGTCCTGTCTTACTCACTTAGCCACCGTGTCTCCAGGCGGCATAGGCTACACAATGTGCTATTTCGAATTCCAACTTTCAAGAGAGTTTTTCCCCCTTTCACCGGAACTCGATTTTCCCTCCTGCACTGGAAAATACCAGGGAGCTCTCTCGGTGAACACCGGGATCAAACCCAAGACCTGATTAGTGAACCAACAACGTGGCTACCTTCAAAGATAATCCTGCCTTATCAAATATAATTAAATGCTGAAGTTTAGTGTTACAGGTAATTTATGTTATAGGTAAATGCTACCTAACTAGGTAATATTATACCTAGGTTATCATGCTACCTGAGGGCGTGGTTGGATGGTGTGGTAGCGGGGAATTACAGGAACCCATGGGTGAGGCGACGGTGGCGACACACAGTGGAGAGTTGACGAGATCCAATCCCAAGTCACAGTTTATATCATCATCCCATAGACCACTCTGTAAATAAATAAATATATACATCATAACAAGAAATGGAGAGAGGGAGAGAGAGAGAGAGAGAGGGAGAGAGAGAGAGGGGGGATGGGGTTTAACGTCCACTCGCCACAAACTAGGTCATTTTGGGACTAACATATGGTTTACTTTTATTTCAATAATTCGCTTGCGCGTAGGGGTCTCTGGCAGTGGGAGGAAACCGGAGGACCCGGAGAAAACCCACGAGATTGCACAGGACCCTACTTCTTGTTACGTACAACCGGGGATTCGAAACTACGCCAGTTGACTCAATGACAGGCTTTATGATACAGCACGTACGTGCTAACCATTCGGTCATCCAACCCCCCAGCAAGAAATGAAACGAAACGAAATGGGGGGTTAATGGTCTACTTCAGTTCCGATGGACTAATGAAGATGGGTATAAACCCTACAGTGTGCTATGAGGGACATTTTGCCCGGACATCGGCACTACGACCTACTCTAATATTGATTTCCAACTGTCAAGGGTTATGTCAATGTGTACATGGGACCTCGGTTTTTTATCCCATCCCAACGACTAGAGACTTTACTATTATGCAATATTACATCATATAAAACGCTTACAAGAGGTTCACAACAAATAGCTTACAGGATGTTGGTTATTGTAACGGGTCCAACTAAATATCCTGCTTTACAGTGGCTCTGGGCAATGTACATTAATTACAACCTTTTAATATATTTTCAGATAAGGGTGACATATCTGGTTATGTCCGGTAAAAATCCTAGGAAAATTCCACGATTAAAATTATCGAACATAAAAACTGATTTTTGAAGTAGAAATATGTTGTTCTTAAAAAATGTGGTTTGACCCCAATATGGACGAAATGGAGCTATCTCCCTTTAAACGTAATTTTATCAATATCTTGGCAAGTAGAATTGGGTGGTTAAACCGGGAAATTCGTTTATCTTATTCTAGAGGGCAAATTAGCTTAAGGTGGAGTGGGGCTTTAATAAGAATACATTAAGTCTTACTTACCGCTAACTCTGATAAAGCCGGGTCCACACCAAACTGAGAACTAACATTGATATCTCTAAGATCGGACATAAATACATCGGGTGTCTGTGATTGGTGGTTGGGGGTTGACGGGTGCTGGAGAGGCGTAGATAAAGATGAATGGACGGAGGAATCGGGTATGTGTATAGTGATTGGTGTACTAGTGGCGGCCATATTGGCACTGGAGTTGTTGTTTTTGGAAGTTCCTACACCAGCTCGGCCACTTTCAATAAGTTCTAATTTTTCTGTAAAAATAAAAACATTATGAAATAAACTAGTTATCATACTGTATCCACCGGGAAACATTATTATCATTATTATTCATCTTCTATCTCCGGTGATGTTTTTTCTGAGCGCTTTACCAATATCACATTACAGTTTGTCGTAATATTTATTAAACAAGTGTTTTATTAGCTCAGATTTAAATTTAAAAGGTGAACCTTCTCTAATTCCCCAGGCAAAATGCAAAACCTAGTACATGTAACTCACTTTTTTTTTATCAAAATTGAGTTAGGACCAAATTTGTAGTTACTAGGGTATGTGCCTCCTGTTGTTGTACTAGATATTCCAATCTTTTGATTTTGTAAGCAGTTACACCCATGACACAACCTAGCAACTTCCTTCATTTGCCTAGTATACCACAGTAAACCCTAGTAGGACTAACTCAATAGACAAATCAATGGATGAGCTGGCGTTTAATTTTCATTCATTACGTTTTCCTTTGTTTTCTCAAAATAAGAAAAAAGTGAGTTACTAGGTTTTGCCTTTTGACGGGAGAATTGTTCGTGGTAGCTTATTCGACAAGTGGGCACCATTTATAGGGAAGGGTAGTTATCCTCGTGTACACTAAGGAAATGAGTAAATTAAATGTTTTGTTTCTTCTTTTTTTTTTGGGGGGGGGGGGCGCCATTTTAATTCCTACATCGATGATTTTAGTCGAAAACACAAAGTATATTTCAAAAATTTAAAGAAGTTTCTTGTTCTGCTACTATTATCACATTTATCGAAAGCTAAATTATTTTTATTAAGTCTTCGAGTGTATGAAAGATATAAAACAGATTAAAACAGTAAATGTTCAACATGGCGGCAATTCACGGCAGAGATTTATTTTCAAAGTAAAAGTTCTCTGTGTGGTTGAATTGATAAGATGAGGTGTTGATTATTTGATACGTCTGACCTCGTGCAACCTGTGATCAGGTGGCTTTAATTAAAGGATCAGTCATTATCAATGGGGATATAGTGTTAATCACGGTTTACAACACGTCATCATTGCGTCACGAAACGTCATAATTAATTATAAAATGTGTAATAAATGTAAATACAAACTGACCACCTGTCCATGATACAATAAAACACAATTAATACAATTATCTCCCTTGATTGTAACTTGGGTAGAAGTGTTAATTTTCTGTATATGGTTGTTTTGTTGGGCGGGGCGATGACGGAGAGGGGGTGGTGTGGGAGATATAACATAGTTTATACCGAGTACACGAAGTGATAATTACATATCTTTTATTTAAAATGTTTGTTTAGGATTTGGTTTTGGTTGGGGTTTTTTTTTTTTGGCTTCGTGTGTTTTTAGAGGTTTTTTTTCTTTTCCCCAGGGGCCAACTGGATAGAGCAATAAACTATATTACCTTTCGAAGAGTATGCTCTCAACCTTATAAATTACATAGGACAAAAAGTGCTACATGGTCTTCTAAGTCCCTAGCAATATGGACATCCGGATTTATTTTTTAGTTATTTAGGGTCTCAATAAAATATATCAGTAAAGAGTCTCAAGTTCAAATTTATAAACATTTTGAGAAGAGGACCCACGTACATGTATGTGTTTGGGGTTTTTTGTTCATCATTTTTCCCCAATAAATAATAAGAAGCACAATTTCAGTAGGTTTCCGAAGTAGAAACCATTCTATTGACGTGACAGTAGGACAGTTTATTCGACCGCTAACCATCTGTTCAAGTGACATTTTAATGGACTCTTTGAACATACAAAGAAAGCATGCCTGCTTATGAAAACACACGTGGTCAACTCCTCGACTGATTATGTATGCAGGGGTCGGATCTCATTCAAAAACTACTATAAATAACGTCACGCAGGTTGGACGTATTTTATAATTCACTGACCAGATGTTCCAACTCCATCTAAAGCTAAAGTCACTGTACGTGATTTACATTCTCTGGAAAATATCAAATTCTCCCCAACTTAATGCATGCTAAAAAGCACTCAAATTGTTTATATAACATTCAATTAAGAAACAAAATATCCAAAATATGCAAGTGGGTGTATATGTATAACAATTTTATGTATTTATTATGACGTGCTAATGATTGTACTTGTAAATCTGGGGCTTGTTTCACGAAATTTTAACTAAGATAAAATCCAAATTTTAGTGATTTGATTGGATAATATTAGATTGATTTTAGTGCTTAGCCAAACAAAATTGAAGTATCTACTAAAATTTGGATTTTATCTTTAGTTAAGATTTCGAGAAACAGGGCCCAGAAACATTGTACATACAAAGTATCTACTTGTAAGTACGTATGATGTACAGACAGTGCATCTACTTGTATGTTTTAAAACATGCCCGTGTTTAGATACATGCACCTGTGTAATGTACAATGTTTAGATACATGCACGTGTGGAAATACATGCACTTGTGTAATGTACAATGTTTAGATACATGTACATTGTACGACAATATATCTACTTCTTTAAAATTATCTATTTCGCTCAAAACAACAAAATGAATTAAACACAAGTTAAACAAACTTATGATGTCTTCGCCAGTCTACATGTTATGTAAATGAGCATGGGAAATTACAATTAACAAAAATAATATACATGTACTGGGAAAATATACATCGATGCAATTATATGACATGTACAGGTGTATGCAGTGTATATGTACTATATATAATATACACTATATATACACAGTGTAATACAATGTATCAACATAATATATACAATGTGTATATGACATGTACATGTGTATACAGCGTCCATACAGTGTATATATACTATATAATATACACATACAGTGTAATACAATGTATCGACATAATATATACAATGTGTATATACAATATATCCCACATGTATATATTACAACTATGTCTATTTTTTATATTTTAACGGGAGACTGGTATTAACCCAGTTTAGTCATTTCAAGTAACGTATATAGTGTAATGTGGGTATTACACTGTCATTACTTACTTGAGAACAACAAAAACGAACTTGTTGAAACGTAGTGTGAAATAAAATCAGTGATTGTTTTCCATATAAATTTGGGTTTTTATATCATATGTTCAATAACTAAATGCCGTATAAGGATTACACTTTATGATGGTAAATATATACATGTATGTGACAGTATTACAGCTGGCTGTTGATATTTGGACCCGATTAAAACGAGTTATCCCCCTTTAATTATAATTGTTAACTGGAGTGTGACTGTAAAGCCAATAAGAGGGCAACAGGTCTCCTTGAGGCTAAACATTACCTCTCTTTATAAATCTTCGTCGCCTATTGTTACCTTGCCACCTGTCCATAATTAATAGGTAACTCAGGTGTAAATGGTACCTGAATGACGGAGTTAAAAGATTTTTAACAGGCAGCGCACTTCTTAACAGGTGTTTTGTGCTAATTAATCTGACCTTTCGCCCCAGGTGATATTAGGGTCTCATCTGATAATTTAAGGGGTTGACTTATTTGTCATCGGACCACACTACTGAAAAGAAGTTTTGTTTGGGGTTTTCTATAAGATGTTTTAAACCTCTCGAGATAATTTCCTTAAAGACCTTAATTTCTAAACCCTTAAAATAAATAAATTTTATAAGGTGGCTTATTTTGTTATTTTTCTAAGATGAATGAAAGACGTTTATTTAAGGGCTTTTAGTGCCTTCAAGGCCATTATTTTTTTTTAGATTGTTTCTTTGATATGAAACAATTGGGTACAATAAACATGGAAACATCTTAAAGATAATTAAAAACAGATCTTATGTCTTCTAGGGACCCTTTCTTATTTTTTTTTTTTTTTTTTTAATTTAAGAAATGTAAAAACGGTCCTAACAGCTGTCACTTTTATGATTGACATGTACATGTATGTCGTAGAGACCTTCAATGATACATATATATGTTTTGAGGTTTTCTTCAAATATATAAATGTCCTAGGTGTCAATGTATATATAAATATTGTGGTAGTAACAAGCCTGGGGAATTTATTTTTTTTAAAGTAGGCCTATTAATATTGATTTTAGTTAACTACACTTATGTCTTTACACGAGGTTACACCACGTACTACAAAGTATATTTGTTCATTTACAAATAGAATGGTTCTTACATACATAGTTTAACATTTCCTAAATAGGATTTCTTTATAGACAGGTAAACAAACGTACCGGAACTTAAATTTTCTACATTATATCTGGGCTGTGTGTCGGGCTTACACCGGAAGCAACCATTTCACTTACAAGAGAGAGAGAAATGGGGTTTATCGTCCACTCGACACAAACTAGGTCATTTCGGGACTGACATATGGTTCTAATTTTATTTCAATAATTCGCTTGCGCGTAGGGGTCTTAAGCAGTGGGAGGAAACCGGAGGATCTGGAGAAAACCCACGAGGTTTGGTTGGACATGCGATCCTACTCCTTGTCACTTACCGTACAAACTATCCAACCCTCTTTTCCTACATTTAATTCCAACTTTAAGATCTTATTAAAGAAATCCTTATTTCAAGGATATTCTATGGGCTTGTGTTATAAAAAAAATCACTGATGTGTTGACACCCAACAGTGGATAGCCTATCTGACTTGTGAACAAAATAATTTAAGATTATAAAAAGACGAACCTGGATGTGCCATACTGTGTTGTAGAGTTTTAGGATCTTTTTGTCGCCATTTAACAATCTCCTCCTCCATTTTCTCTATTTTCGCTGGATTCAAGGCCCACAGACAACCTTTCTTCGTCGTACTTGTTGGTTTCGTCTGTTTGGGCGTTTCAGCTTTTTGGAAACATTTGTTTAACGACAAATTATGTCGAACTGAATTCTGAAAGAAAATGACAATCGTGGTATTACACTGTCTTTCAAATGATGTAAATAACACAAGGTACAATTTTATGGATACACTATTACTGAGTTTAATACTAAACGACGTTTCGATAAAGACGAGAGTATATTCGTCGAAACGTCGCTTAGTATTAAACTCAGTAATTGTGTATCCATAAAATTGTACCTTGTGTTAATATGTTCAATTACTAAATGTCAATCAAAGAAGATGATTTTAAAAAGGTCCTTATTTCAGTTCATCTGATGCATGGCGATTCCCTGATTTTATTTGATCTGATATTATATCTATATACATGTACAATTGGTTATCTCAAAATCGGCTTATCACAGGTCCTACAAATGTACCCAATATTCAAGCCTGGAAATAATGGTTTTAGATGTACCTGACAAAATATTAGGCACTAATGAAATAGTACCTGACATTTTCAACTTAGTGCCAGACATGTATTATTAATATCAATAAAAAAGACAAATCAGTGCCAGACAAAATGACAGGCACCAGAGGTTTTGAACATGTACCCGACATTGTCTGTGACAGGTGCCTTATTTCCAGGCTTGCCAATATTTGGAATAAAACAAATCACAAACCATATCAATGCATACAATGAATTCAAATCCGCAATTTTATTGTTAACCCACGTCCAGTATTTTTTTTAAGAAAGTAGATTTTAATTACTTATTTAAATTGATAAATATCCCAGGATTCTTAATACAATATATGATTTATAAAAACCAATAGAATAAAATACAAGAGAATAACATTTTATAAAAAAAATTCGCAAAATGTTGCCAAAATTACTTGTTTTCTTTATGTTTTTGTTTTTGGGATGGTTTTTTTTTTTTTTTTTTGTTATTAATTCATAACGTTAAACCCCATTTCATTTAATTCATAAAACTTCAATTTGACTGTTGACGCTCGGAAACCATCACTCCCAGATGCCAATGTACCTTGGGGTTTCATTTTAACGTCTGCTTCCACAAAAGTGATATCGCAGATGTCAGTCCGTTAGCAGTGTTTATAATGAATTATCCAAAATCTACATATATAGATCAAACCATTCAGACCATATGTCAAGTTAAAGAAAGTGTTGCCATTAAATCGTGATGTGTTGAGACTGGTGGGTTTAAATGAGATTCACACGTCTTACAATAAATCCTTTTACTCTTAAAATCATTTTAACACCTGCTAAGGATTAAACAGATTAGGAGATTAAGTTGTGATTAATTGAGGATAATTAATCATTAACTATAGATTATAAAATGTACTCCTAAGTAAAACTGCCAAGGTTTATTGACATCGTTAATTCTTTACTTTCCATTCATTCCATCTATTTTCCTATTCTATGAATTATTTTCTCTTATATAATATATTAATCTTCAAGTACATTTGTACTTTCATTTTGATATAAAAGAACAACACAATTTATATAAAATGAAATGGGGTTTAACGTCCTACTGTTCTGCTCCTATATAGGGCATACATGTACGTCATACAGTGTACTATGAGGGAATTACTATGGCCTACTCTTATATCCATATCCAATTTGCCAGTGTATACACGGGTCCTCGGTTTTTTGTTCTATCTGAACTACTAGACAGCTGTCCTTGACGGGCCCTCCTTCATGCACCACTGACAACTGACAAGGAAAAAACACGTCGGAAAATCCCGATGAACTTCCTCGGCCAATGCAGGGTTCGAACACGCAGTGGGAGGAAACCACAGGATCCAGAGAAAGCCACGAGGTTGGACCTTACGATACAACGCACACGCGTTAACCATTCGCCCCCCCCCCACACACACACACACCCTCTCGGTCCCCGAGCTAATGAAGACGGGCATACATCAAGCAGTTTGCTATGTGGAAACGGCTGCAATGTGTACAGGGGACCTTGGTTTTGGTCCCATCCGAACGACCAGTCAGTGAAAGGTGTTATGATTGAGACATGAATAGGATTAACGCTATCTATTCAACGTGTCTCCTAATATGGCTATTTTGATCACATGATTAATGTACAGCACGTCAATTTATTAATAAAATCATGCATAAAGGTCACGTGACATCTTTAGAAATCGCGAAGATTAATCGTGCATTGAACTAACTGAGGATACACATGTACGTGTATTAAAAATCTATGAATTTAATATTAGAGAGGATTAATGCGCATGCATGAATCTTTGACCCCCTAGAGCGATTGTAATAATGGCAGTGATTATAGACCTTTTGTTGACGCGTATTTCTATTGTCATCTATATCTCGTGCATCTTGTATCTTGTTAGATCAATATATTGATTTATTTGCTTTCTTTCTAATCAATTCGAGAATATTAACGCCCATTTAAACGCTGCCTCAATCTAATACTGGGGCCTGTTTCACGAAATTTTAACTAAGATAAAAATCGAAGTTTTAGTAATTTGATTGGATAATATTATATTGATTTTAGTGCTTAGCCAATCAAAATTGAAGTATCTACTAAAATTTGGATTTTATCTTTAATTAAGATTTCGAGAAACAGGGCCCTGGATATAAAACCTAAATAAACACTTATCGTCAATTAGACTCAACCACAATCTAATACAATGTATATAAAACCTTAAAATCAATGATTATTAACTAGAGTCAACCACAATCAAATATATAAAACCTTAAAATATCTGGTCATCTGATTCACCCACAAACTAAAACATTAAAATCTCTAATCGTCATTTAGACTCACCCACAAACTAATACCGTACATGTATATAAAACTTTAAAATCTATAATCGCCAATTAGATTCAATCACAAACTAATGTTTATATAAAAGCTAAAAAATACTTATCGCCAATTAGATTCAATCGCAAACTAATGAGGTTTTTTTATATCTCTGATTGTCATTTGATACATTGCCTTGACAGTTGGAATTCGATATAAGAGTAGGCCTGTAGTGCCGCTGTCCGGGCAAAATTTCCCTCATAGCACACTGTATGGCTAATCCCCTTTTTCATTAGCCCAGTTTAGGAGCCGAACAGTAGGACGTTAAACCCCATTTCATTTCATTTCATCTTTTGTAAACTATAATAATATGAAGTTTGAATCTATAATAGGAATAATGTGTTAGATGACAATGCAATAGAAGTGTGTTTTAACACCATGCAAAGGTTGAACGTTCTTGGTTTTTATACATTTATAAATTGCTATCTTAAATTTGAAACTGTGAGGTTATCATCAGTAGTTCGTTTAGATCGTTTGCACCGATAAATACAAATATGCATATTTCAAATAATGTTTATTGTCCTATCACTCTTATCAGAGCTCCCGTCAAATTTCGATTCATAAATCGCATGGCTGAGACAGTTGTTTAATAATAATAGGATTGTAAGCCGGGCAGGTGCACATTGTACTTGTATTATACCCTGTAGTAAGCACGCGAAACAGGTAGATATCATTTTTAATCAAACCAGATCAAAAGACAGCCGACGATACGTCCAACAGGTGTATAATAATCACGTGACTAACAAAGGCGACCAATCATAGCGTTCAAATGGCTAATCATAGTTTCCGTAAAGAAATCTAAATATAGAAGACTATTTCAAATCTTCTTCACCAGAAATCATTAATATTTGAATATTTCATTCAGGAAGCAATTATATGAAATGAAATGAGGTTTAACTGTTCTGCCCCGACTGGGATAATGAAGATCGCGGAAGCAAATAATTTTATGATGCAATATAATTTGAATATACATGTAATGTAACATACCTTCCAGCCGTCTGGGGCGGTTTTGAAATATGGATAATTCTCACTGAAATAAAACAAATTTAAAACAAAATGTATTATTTTTGGGAAAGATGGAAATTAATTTTACCTAAAAGTACAATGTAGGTTGCATTTTATAAAAATTAAGATGTCATAAAATACATTGTTTGCTGCCATTATCATATCTAATACTTCTAGAATTCCTAGGTCATAATTATCTGTTATTTTTAAACTTAAACTTGTCTCAACATCGTTTGAATTTTTTTTATTTTTAACCACGAGTCGACTATTGTCATTCGACCAAGCGTTTTAATTGTGACTTATTCCTGGAAATTGTGAAATTTGAACCTTACACAGAAACCTGTGATTTGTGTGAACTTGACAGACATTTCAGAAGTGGTATTAGATGTTCTAGAATTAAAAAAATAAAGCATACGTACGTCATGAAGGTGTAGATCTCGCTAACTGGTAAATTGCCACTAACACTGTTTTTTAATGCTAGAGCTATGAGACAACTGTAGGAATACACGGGTTTGGGGAACACCTTCTCCATCTTCTTCTTCTCGTCTTCCTGGCCCTGCTCTATGGCGGACTGTACGGCTGGGAGGCTGATGATCGGACGAGATTGGGGAGGAAGACCGTTCTGTAGATGCCCCACAAGCACTGGGGAACTCTGTGAAGGTGACATGACAGTTTTTGATAGAAGTGGAATATTTTGTTGCTGTGTGGAGAATGTAACGTGGTGATAAACAACGGAATTTTGCGACTGAGAAACCTCGATTCCTCCATGATTACTGACTGTCACTAGTTGAATATTGTTGGGTAGAGTTTGAGCGACCCCCGATGACGAACAGACAGTCTCCACGCCATTTATATTGGGTAGAGAAGGGGAATCACTGGCCACAGTATTCACATATATATCAACGGGTATAACCGTCTGGGGATTCACTAACAAATTAGGATCCGTATTCTCCGATTCGTTTTCATCTCGGAATTGTCCGCCCAAATTATTAGGCTGCATCCACTGCAAAGTGTTGTAGTCTTGGTTGGAATCCAGGTGATCCAAATCGGGCAGACCACAGCCGGGTTCTGTTTTTAAATTAATATCCATTGCACAGTCCTGTCTGTCGGAATTCAAAAACAAGTCGAGCTCGTGTCGTTCTTCGTTGCTCATTGTGTCGATCAGCGACATGGCATCGGCCTCCATTTGGGCGAGATATTCCATTTTAATAGTTGTCATGAAGTTTCCAGAGTTTTAAAAAGATGAAGTTGATTTCACTGTTGTTGTGTTTTTGAAGTAAACCGGTCGTGGATGTCAGCTGATTGAAATCTGTTGAATGTTTTCACACGAACACTACTCCAAGTCGCAATATCAATCAAAGATCCTTCAATGATTTGTTATTAGCCCATTAGTTAACCTGACAACTTCTCGAAAACTAATTGACAAATTTTCATTTAAAATTTCCACCATAACATCTTCAAAACCATCGTAGTAAACTTTGTGATGATAGTAATGTAGTAGATTTCTGTTGGCTGATTCGTTGAACAAAGGACCTCAACAATTTCAAAATACAGTCATCCCATTGGTCGACGTAGGTCACGGGGTTTTGAATACCGTGCGTTGATTGGCTGTTGCTAAGAGCGTGCCCCATAACAAAATCCGTATATGGATGGATTGACCCCAACTTTGAACAGGTGCTCGGTTAGATAAATACATGAGCTAACGTGTCGTGCGATGTAGGTGCAATATGCCAACACATGTTTTAACCTCAAAACACCTTTACATTGAAAAAATTCCATCATATTCGATGTTTTTTTGTATATATTTAATTTAGATATTCATAACAGAAGCGAATATGATCGGATTTCAATGCCGATTGGACGGCTCGCCATGATTTTGTGGTTTGACATGGATCAATGAATGGCAGACACTATTGATTGAACGACTGTCGGGAATAATTGAACGATTGTCGGGAATAATTGTATTTTATGTATATTCAACAAGTGGTTTTAATTATTTGTCCAAGGAACATTTCCACTGCGGACGACGTTTTAAAATATTGAAACGGATCAATTAGATAAAATTTTAATGAACCGAAGTTTCGTAAAATTTTACAAAAAAGGGACAAAATTGGATAATTTGATTTGAACTTATGAATGCTGACTCTTGTTACAATTTAAGGGTTTTATTTCCTTAATTTTTTTATTTCTTTTAATTTTATTTTTTAGGGATCACGGTGGATAAGACGCTGGCTCGCTATCTTGGAGGTCGGGTGTTCGACCCATGCATTGGCCGAGAAAGTTCATCCAGATTTTCCGGCGTCTATAGTCGCCCGGATGGGACAAAAAAACCGAGGACCCGTGTAGACATTGGCGTGCACGTAAAAGATTCCTTGACAGTTGGAATTCGATATAAGAGGAGGCCATAGCACATTTTATGGTGTACGCCCGTTCGGAGCAGAACAGTAGGACATTAAACTCCATTCATTTCATTTCCTTAAATTCGCTGCCGTGATTTCGATTCCCCGGTTGTACATGACAAGGAGTAGGGTCGACTGTCCAACCTCGTGGGTTTTCTCCGGGTCCTCCGCTTTCGCACGACTAAAGACCCCTAAGCACAAGCAAATTATTAAAAATAATAAATAACGTTAAACTCTCTCTCTCTCTCCCTCCCTCTCTCCCTCTCTCTCTCTCTCTCTCGTTCGTTACGTAATGGAAAATCAAATTTTAATGACCCGATTTCTGAAAGACGAAAGTGGATAAACGATAAATCTATCAACTCTCATTATGAAAGACGGCGATTGTTGCAATTATTTGAATGGTCTGATTCGCGGCGATAATTGGGTTGTCATCTATGTATTAGCGAGTTTAATTGTACATGTCAACAGACAGCTGGAGCCAACATGGGTGTTTGTTTCTCGGCACAGAAAAACTAATACTCTGTGCTATAATACCGGGGGTGTAGACACGAGGTGACAAATATCCACTTCGTTCGTTCTTTGTGTTGGGGGGGGGGGGGGGGGGGGGGGCTGGTGTACGCATTGGATCAAAAGCTCTGGCAGTGGTTTCGATTCTCTGCTTGTACGTGACAAGGAGTAGGGTCGGCTTTTCAACCGCGTGGTCCCCGAGTCTTCCGGTTTCCTCCCATTCCTAATGAGCCCTACGAGCTAGGTAATTATACTCCTTATCACGTACGACCGAGGAATAGAAACCACGCCAGTTGACTCAATGACATACCTTATGACATACCTTATGACACAGCACACACGCGCTAACCAGTCGGCCATCAAACCGCCTGTCTAAACTTGAAATAAAACTGAAGTGTTACATGTACAACCGACTATTCAAACTAAATGATAAGTTCATAATAGAATGTACGCACTTATAAGGACTTTTATGAGGAGAATAATATACACAGATAACGATCGTTGTATTAACTCCATACAGAGAAGGGAGTTGCGTGGCCGAATGGTTAGCACGTGGGCGCTGTATAATAAGGTCTGGCATTGAGTCAACTGGCGTGGTCTCGAATCCCCGGTTTCCCCCCACTGCTAAAGGCCCTTACGCGAAAGCGAATTATTGAAATAAAATTGAATCATATGTTAGTCCCGAAATGACCTGATTTGTGTCGAGTGGACGTTAAACCCCATTTCTCTCTCTCTCTCTCTCTCTATCTCTCTCTCCATACAGAGAATGTGCGCAGGTTTTTTTCGTTTTTTTTAATTGTTTTTTTTTTTATTAAAAACAATATCGTAACTTTTGACAAAATTATGGTCCAGTTCGTACGACTCTCGATATATAGAAAATAGGCCGCGGACGATTACCTTCCCTTGAATTTATGAATTATTCAACTGTTGATTGACTCTATCGACCCATGATCACATACGCACGCGAGATTTACGGACTTCAACTCCGTCAATGAATATCGAATTTTTTGAATGAAATTATCAGCAATGAACAACAGATGTTTTGAATTATTCCGCTGGTTTTTTTTATTTATTCAGTGTTTGTGGTTCATTGCGTGTAGATATTATATAGTAAAGCATGAGTCATGAACTGGTTATAGAATGACTGTATAAATCATTTCTTCATTGAATTCGTGAACCGAGAACTACATGAAACTATGTGAGAGATAATGTATGGAGTTATGGCTATTGACTCCCTTTTTAGTGCTAATAGGACACGAAGATAGTCTTACAAATACGTATACTGCAAACAGTATGTACATGAAAATAGTAAATTCCAAACATATATATAAAAAATAAATAATAAAAGCGGGAATTTAAAAATTGTAATCTGCGTGACCCTGTCATAGTAGCCTGTTTGACAAATACACAGAAAATGGTATCATGTAGCCCAGGGAGCGTTCAGACTCTACATGACGTCAATGTCCTGGATTAAAACCCAACCGTGGACAAAGAAAATGAAACGAAGCGAAGGGGAGTACGGGGGAAACGAAGGAGAGTAGGGAAAACGAAGGAGAGTACGGCGAGACGAAGGAGAGTGGGGAAAACGAAGGAGAGTACGGCGAGACGAAGGAGAGTAGGGGAAAACGAAGGAGAGTGGGGAAAACGAAGGAGAGTACGGCGAGACGAAGGAGAGTAGGGGAAAACGAAGGAGAGTAGGGAAAACGAAGGAGAGTACGGCGAGACGAAGGAGAGTGGGGAAAACGAAGGAGAGTACGGCGAGACGAAGGAGAGTAGGGAAAACGGAGTACGGTATTTGGGTAGAATGTCAATTTGTTTCACATTTTTATTTTGCTTAGAAATGTTGAGTTTGGACGCAAGAGACAAACTCAGTAATGCTTTATCAAATGTTTTAATCTAAACAAAACTTAGTCATACTTTTAGTGTGTATACTTTCTTTTGGACATCAGTATATCTACTAAAATTTGGATTTTATCTTTAGTTAAGATTTCGAGAAACAGGGCCCAGACTTCCAGAAATTGTAACACGATTTTAGTGATAACAGCGATCAGTTTAGTAAATATAATTATTTATTTAAATCGGGAACAGGAACATAAATACATACGAACATAAATCAAACAGGAAATAAACTATATCAGGAATATAAACAATAACATCAACGCGGTACATTAATATAGTATATAATTATATTTCAACTATTTCGTGTGCTATGAGGGAAATTTTGCCCGGACAACGGCACTACGGCCTACTCTTATATCGAATTCTAGCTGTCAATGGGTCTTTTACGTACACGCCAATAGGTACACGGGACCTCGGTTTTTCGTCCCATCTGAACGACTAGACAGCTGTCCTTGTCAGGCCCTCCGTCCTGCATCACGGACAAGGGGGAACCACGCCGGAAAATCTGGATGAACTTTCTCGGCCAATTCAGGGATCGAACACCCAACCTCTAGTCTAGCGAGCCCACGTCTTACCAACTTAGCCAGCGTGACCCCCAGCTGGTGGACCAGTACGTGTTGAATGATCCAGCATCTTACTCCTTAGCCACCGTGCTCCGTGATAAAACAAAATGAAATGAAATGAAATGGGGTTTAACGTCCTACTCTTCTGCACCTAACCTGGGCTAATTGAAGACGGGCATACGCATCACTGACAAGGGGAAACCACGCCGGAAAATCGTGATGAACTTTCTCGGCCAATGCAGGGATCGAACACCCGACCTCCAGGCTAGCGAGCCAGCGCCTTACCCACTTAGCCACGTGATCCCCCGTGATTAAACAAAACAAATAACTAATTAATGATTACTATTAATAAGCAAGATGTTCTTGATTCTGAAAACATTGATAATTTTTTATGAATATCATTCTGACTTTATTGTTATAAATTGTTTGAAGATTAAATTCTCAGTTGTTATAATTTGTATGAAGATTAAAGCTACAATTTCATATTTTTAAGTTATATTTTTAAAATGTATTAAAATAAAGCCTTAAAATAGATGGTATCTAAAAACAGTCCTACCTTGTTAAAAAAAATAGTCCTATTAATCCTAAAATTCACTATTGCCAGTTGAGAGATTGGCAAAAATATCATTTTCAACTTCAAATTCAAACGTTTGAAGATAGCTATTCCATGGTGGGGAATAGAAAAACAAGGGAGATTATGGGGGGTAATTGTGTCATTATTTCCGGTGTGAAGATTTTTAATCCTAAAATTCACTATTGCCAGTTGAGAGATTGGCAAAAATATCATTTTCAACTTCAAATTCAAACGTTTGAAGATAGTTATTCCATGGTGGGGAATAGAAAAACAAGGGAGATTATGGGGGGTAATTGTGTCATTATTTCCGGTGTGAAGATTTTTAAGTGTGAGAAAGATAACCTATGATCGTATAATTATAGCGAGTTGACAACCCATTGAGCAAAAGACAGAAATAATTATGTTTTGACTTTCTTAGAAAATATGAAATTGTAACTTTAAATTCTCAGTTGTCTTATATAAAGTTATGCGTTGAATTAATGAAAATATAGATAAGGTCACCTGACATCAGACCCTAGATATTATTATCATA